GTTTTCGCAGAAGAGTGCAGGGAGTTTGGGCCTCTGGCCTGGAGTCTGGCCAGCAAATTCCGGCTGGTTTAAAGTTTGCAATGTGCACATGTGGGAGATTAGAGCATTGAACGCCTCCTGCAAATCCGCCTTTTCAGAGGTGGCCCCTTGCAAGGATGATGGGAGTTGTAGTCAATCAATTATACCCTGAGGGCCACGGGGGCCATTCCCTGGGGCCCTTCAATCGCTGTGCCCATATTATTGCGACGTTGATTATCATAAGTATAAGAGCCGAGGTGGCGCAGTGGTTAAGAGTGCAGTACTGCAGGCCACTTCAGCTGACTGCTATCTGCAGTTCGGCGGTTCAAATCTCAACGGCTCAAGGTTGACTCAGCCTTCCATCCTTCCGAGGTGGGTGAAATGAGGACCCAGACTGTGGGGGCAATATGCTGACTCTGTAAACCGCTTAGAGAGGGCTGGAAGCCCCATGAAGCGGTATATAAGTCTAACTGCTATTGCTATTGCTAAATGCATTTGGGGTTAGGTTTTTATGTATTTCTTAATATTTATTTATATGTCTTATACTTTACTGATGCTCTGGGCAGTGTACAATTTATGCATTGTTGTTCTTGTTCTCGTTTTCTTATCGCCCTCATTAGCCACCTACCCAGGTATAAGCCTTGATGTGCAAGCATCCGTTTAGTGAATTGTTAAGGTTATGACCGCACTGGGAAACAAGGACTTACAGCCTGTCTTCACTCTTAACGGCCATTGCGGCATCCCCACGAGACCAAAATTCAGGCAGATGGCTACCAGCATGCACAGCCAGTCCTCGGCTTACAACAGTTCATTCAGTGGCCCTTTCAAAGTGGCAGCGGCACCGGAAAAAGTGACTTACGACCGCGTCTCACTCTTGTGACCGTTGCAGCACGCGATTTTTCGTTTGGATGCTTGGCAACTGATTCATATTTATGACAGTTGCAGTGTCCCGGGGTTCATGTGATCAATTCCACGACTTTCTGACCAGGAAAGTCAACAGGGGAAGCGAGATTCACTTAACGACCGGGTGACTAATTTAATGACTGCAGCGATTCGCTTAACCAATGTGGCAAAAAAAGCGGTAAAATGGGACAAAAAAACCCCTCACTTAACATCTTTCTCGCGTAGCCACATAAATTCTGGGCTCAATTGTGGTCGTAAGTCGAGGACTTGTCTGTATTTAATGACATTTGTAGCCTCCTGGGGCCTCTGCGGCCCTCGGTTTGTGAGGGATAAGCAGAGCTGGAGTCTCGTTAATGTCTCTGTGATTCACTCAAGTGCAATGATTCGCTTAAAACCCGTGGCGAAAACTGGGCATGGCTCACTTAGCGACCACCTTGCTTGGCGATGGAAATTCTGGTCTCTATTGCGGTCGTAAGATGAAGACAACCTGTAACTGAAACTGGGTGCTACGTAGAAGCGAAGTTTTGTGATCTGCATGAGTTCCCCAGCCGAGAGAGCTGGATGATAGAAATTTCATTCCATACCGAGGCCTCCCTCCATGCATAATTTGCATATTTTTGCATAATTTGCATGGTTTACTTTCCTTCTGCATTGCACAAGGAGTTGGCAGCTGCGTGGGATGCCAAAGCATGATGGAACTAACGAACAGACAGGGACCTCGTCGCCTTCCGAAACCGCCCGAGGCGTTGGCTGCCATCTTTCTCCTCTGAAAGACTGGCCAACAACGCCCATCGTCCCCCGCCAGGTCGGCCCGGGGAAGGAATGCTGCATGGCTGTGCAGAAAACGTGCTTGGATTCTCAGCGGGCGTTTGGAATAGCCGCCCACGATTCTCCCTTCTCCCATCCGCAGGGGAAGCCTGTTGGTGGACCATCCACCCCGCCTCGAAGCAGCGGTCGGAGGGGGAGAAGGTGCGCGTGGGGGACGACCTCATCCTCGTCAGCGTCTCCTCTGAGCGGTATCTGGTGCGTGTCCAAAATAGCGGTGGTGCCTTTGAGGCGCTTGTTTATCCTCACAGCAGCAACCCTCTGAGATGGGCTGGGCCAAGAGAAAGAGAGCGAGCGATTGGACCAAAGTCATCCAATCAGCTTTCATGCCTAAGGCGGGACTAGAATTCACTGTCTCCTAGTGATTGGACCAAAGTTACCTAATGGTTTAAGGTGGGACTAGAACTCCCAGTCTCCTGGTGAACTCCGCATAGCCTTGAAGAACTGGCTCGCCCGTCAGGCCTGGGGATAAGGATAGTTGCCCCTCCCGAATGGTGAATGTATGTTGCCTACCATTTTATTATATGTTTCTATCTTGATGTTTGTATTCCCCCATTCCCAGTTTTATGTGAGCCGCCCTGAGTCCCCTCAGGGAAAAGGGCGGCCTACAAATTCTAATAAAACTAATATAAAAAAAAAAAACTAATTGGCCCAAAGTCAGCCAGCTAGCTTTTCAATTTAAAGTGGGACTAGAATTCTCAATCTCCTAGTGATTGGCCCAAAGTCACCTAATTGTTTAAGGTGGGACTAGAACTCCCAGTCTCCTGATGATTGGCCCAAAGTCAGCCAGCTAGCTTTCCTATTTAAGGTGAGACTAGAACTCTCAGTCTCCTGGTGATTGGCCCAAAGTCACCCAACCAACTTACAGGCCTTAGGCAGGACTAGAATTCTCAGTCTCCTGGTGATTGGCCCAAAGTCAGCCAGCTAGCTTTCATGCCTAAGGCAGGACTAGAACTCACTGTCGCCTAGTGATTGGCCCAAAGTCACCTAGTTGTTTAAGGTGAGACTAGAACTCTCAGTCTCCTGGTGATTGGCCCAAGTCAGCCAGCTAGCTTTCCTATTTAAGTGCGACTAGAACTCTCAGTCTCCTAGTGATTGGCCCAAAGTCACCCAACCAACTTACAAGCCTAAGGCAGGACTAGAACTCACTGTTGCCTAGTGATTGGCCCAAAGTCACCCAGCTGGTCTTCAGGACTAACCTGGGACTAGAACTCACAGTCTCCTGGTGATTGTCCCAAAGTCACCCAGCTAGCTTTCATGCCTAAGGTGGGACTAGAACTCACTGTCACCTAATGATTGGCCCAAAGTCACCCAGGCAGCTTGCAGGCAGGACTAGAAGTCACAGACTCCTGTTCTGGGAAACAGTCCATCACTCCCACTCTCCCCCCCCCCCGCTCTTTCCTTCTGGCCTAACCGTTGACGTGGTGGGGGGTCTTTATCTTCTCCAGCACTTGTCCACCGCCAGTGGAGAACTTCAGGCCGATGCCTCCTTCATGCAAACCCTTTGGAACATGAATCCTATCAGTTCTGGCTGCGAGGAAGGTGCGTGTTTTGTGTGTGTGTGTGTGTGTGTGTGTGGTTGTGATAAGAGTTTCTTTGGCCTTCAAAGATTTCAGATAATGTGGTGGAGGTTTTCAGCAATGGTGGCCCACGGGCTGTGGACGCGAGTCTTGGGATGGGAGATGAGTTGACCCTTAATTCCGTCTTGTTCCCATCTCAGGATCTGGAGATGGTTGTTGACTCACCCTGCCGTCTCCTCTTTCTCTCTCTCTCTCTGTCCCCCCAAGGGTGTGTGACTGGTGGCCATGTCATGCGCCTCTTCCACGGCCACATGGACGAATGCCTCACCATCTCCACCACGGACCAGAATGAAGAGCAACGCAGGTGGGTCTCCTTGAACCGAGCCAGAGATGGATAGGCAGGCCTTAACAGAAGAACAGAGTTGGGACCTTGGAGGTCTTCTAGTCCAGGGGCCTCCAACCTTGGCGACTTTAAGACTTGTGGACTTCAGCTCCCAGAGTTCCTCAGCCAGCCGGCTGAGGAACTCTGGGAGCTGAAGTCCACAAGTCTTAAAGTTGCCAAGGTTGGAGGCCCCTGTTCTAGTCTAAGCCGCTGTTCAGGAAGGGGACCCTCTACCATTTGAGATACATGCCTGCCCGATCGCTTCTTAAAAACGTCCACTTTTGGAACTCCGATAACTTCCTGAAGCAAGTTGCGGTGTGTGAGTGCTTAGTCGACCACATTCGCCGACCACATTGTCTGGATTCAGATGTTGCGTGAAGCCATAAACCAAGAGTATTCCAAATTTCAGACTTGTGGACTGGGCCTGGCTTTGGCCACTGAATCCTACTTAAGGATCTGTTAGCTAAGTCCTTCCCTCGTTTTACACTTCCTTCTGCAGGGTGGTGAACTATGAAGGGGGGCCCGTCTGTTCCCAGGCTCGATCCCTCTGGCGCCTGGAGCCTCTGCGCATCAGGTAGGTTCGTGTTCTCCATGCTTTCGGTCTTCAACTTTTCCTTTCTCTTGGGCCTTTCTTCTTTCCCACGCCCAGCTGGTGTTCACTTTCAAATTAAATCTGACCGAGGATAGCTGGTCTGTATTCAAGTCGCACTAAATCACCACTTATCTATGGCTTATGGCAGGGGTGTCAAAATCAATTTCATTGAGGGCCACATCAGGGCTCTGTGGTTGACCTCGGGGAGGGTGGGGGCTGGCCGATTAGGTGGGTGTGGCCATCTTGACGCCACTCACTGGGTGTTGACGACTGAGTGGGGGTGGCCAGCTGGGTGGGGGGGTGGCCAGCTGGGTGGGGGTGGCCAGCTGGGTGGGGGTGGCCAGCTGGGTGGGGGTGGCCAGCTTGATGCCACTCCCTAAACTGCTGGCATGTTTCCTCTTCGCATTGGATAGAGTGGGCCGAAGTGACGTAATCAGACTGGGACGGCCCCGCGGGCCGAATCCAACTGCATTGAGTTTGACGCCCCTGGTTTGTGGGATCAACCATCTTTAGAAGAAAATATTTCCATCTTTGGAAGCCTTCTTTGTTTGGTCTACCGCTAAGCCATCCACAAGGAAATCCTAGCCATCTTCATCCCAAACTCAACCGAACGGTGCCTTCCCTATGGTTGAACCTTCTGTCCCAACAGCTGGAGCGGCAGCCACATGAAGTGGGGTCAACCCTTTCGTGTCCGCCACGTCACCACGGGACGCTACCTGGCCCTGACTGAGGAGAAAGGGCTGGTTGTGGTGGACGCTGAGAAGGCCAACACCAAAGCAACAGCCTTCTGCTTCCGGGTTTCGAAGGTGAGAGGGTCCCTCCTTGTGTTAGAGGCTGATGCTTTCCAGAAGGAGCTTCAAAAAAAGTGTGAACATCTGGACCACAGTTCTCTTAGAGCAGTGTTTCTCAACCTTGGCGACTTTAAGTTCTGTGGACTTCAACTCCCAGAATCCTAAGCTATGCTGGCTGGGGGATTCTGGGAGTTGAAGTCCACAGGACTTAAAGTCGCCAAGGTTGAGAAACACTGTCTTAGAGAGATTGAAAGTGCCCTAAAACAGGGGCCACCCGCCTTTCGGACCTCAGGGACCACTAAATTCACAATTTTAAATCCTGCGGACCACTGATATGACCTGCCTGATGACCAGCTAATGGGCGTGGCTAGGTGGTCGTGTGTCTGGATGGATGTGGCCCCAACAGGAAGCCGTTGTTAGAGCTAAGCAGCCACCAGGAGAAAGAGCTGGCAAAACAGCTCCGTTCAAATCGGATCTGGCCGAGAAGGAGGCTCAGCAGAAGCACCTCACTGAGGACTAGGAGCATGGGCTTTCCAAGCAGAGGGAAGACCTGCGGGAGTGCAAGGCCAGGTACCGGTGTCTCAGCGGGTTGAGATGGTCAGCCAAAAACTGGAGGCAGCGTTAAAAGGGGGACCAGCCTAGAATCCCTACATAGTCGCAAATGAACCTCCCTTGAACTCCACTGACCCTCATCTAACTCCAAGCAGGTGCTAACCTTAGTGTCAACTCCTAACGTTGCCATAGTAAGAGAAGCGGGGAGCGAAGTCGGACCTCAGATTACTGCAGCAGACTTGGGGAAGGTGCACCTCATTGGGGAATGTGATTTATGACACAGACTGAGGGGAGGAACAGGGGTAAAGTTCAGCGATAACTCAAACAAAGTTTAGGTCTAACTGCGAATGATAACTTGCCTATGATGCTCCTAATAAATGGCTAGTTTTGTATTGAAACTTGGCTCGAGGCTCACGAATCAACTAGGGCGTTTTTAGGAAGCCTGACAGTCAGACCTAAGCTTTGTTGGAGTTATACCTGAACTTTACCCCCTGTTCCTTCCCTCCTTTCAGTCTGTGTCATAAATCACCTTCCCCAATGAGGTGCACCCCTCCCAAGCTTGCTGCAATAATCTGAGATCCGACTTCAGGAGACAGTATGCATGGAATGTGCTCCCCACCACCTTCTCTTACTGTGGCAATGTGAGGAGTTGAGAAAAGGCCTTTTGGCAATAATTCCGTTGATCCATGGGATCTTCCCAGGTGGATCTGGTCTTCCGTGCCTGATCTCTCCGTCTCTTTCCTCTCTTTCAGGAAAAGCTAGACGTGGCCCCGAAACGAGACGTGGAAGGCATGGGCGCACCGGAGATCAAATACGGAGAGTCCATGTGCTTCGTGCAACACGTGGACAGCGGCCTCTGGGTGACCTACGCAGCTGCTGATGCCAAGGCGATGCGCCTGGGTTTGCTCAAGAGAAGGGTAAGTCGTGGCTGGCGGAGTTGATTGATTGATTGATTAAATTTCTATGCCCCCCGGCCCAGACCACATAAAAAGCAAGATGCTCCTGGCCTAGAATCCAGTGCTGGACTGCTGTGAGACTCCCAGCTGCCTTAGTCACTGAGTATAAGGGCTCCGGTTCCACCACAAAACCGCGGAGTACAAAATCGCGCTCGACGAAAGCGCGTACGTGACGTCATCACAGCGCGACGAAAA